CTAAACTCCTAGTATCCCCCTGAATAACCCCTATAATACTCCCCTATAATCCCCTTTAAGGAGTTTAGGCCCTAAACTCTCAACCCTATATAATCCCCTTTTTGAGGAGTTTAGACGGTAGCTCATGTGGGAGCTTCTCAAAATGGAGTATCCGGGTACGTTGAGAACTTCCTTTCTGCTTTGTTTAAGGTTGAAGCTTTGGGGTTTAGGGTTCAGGGCTCCAAGAACCATCTCGTCGTCCGAATACATGACCCCTATATACGAAGAAGTGGCATTCGAACACTCCATGCTAGCTCTTCCAGCTGCACCAATTTTCTCAACGTACAAGTACTCATGAGCTTGCCTCCCCCTAAATCCAAACCCCCAACACTACACATGCACATTCTGAACCCGAACGAGCTTCTGAACCGAACATCTTGACCAAAAACCCGACGAAACCCTTGGCATATGAGCTATAGTCTAAACTCCTAGTATCCCCCTTAATATCCCCTATAGTACTCCCCTATATAATCCCCTATATATCTCCCCTTTAAGGAGTTTAGACTATAGCTCATATGGCAAAGGTTCTGAGAGCTCCTCAACAGGTCCAAAGCTCTGCAACTCACAATGTGATTGAAGGTTGTTGGTGTTTTAAGTAGTTTCCATGTTCTTTTCCATCATCCCTATATATGGCCCTATATTATCCCAATATTACCCCTGGCTCCGGGGTTTTTTGGAAGGACAACCTACTACCGATGGCCTACGACTCACGCGTCCCTTGTTCCTGGCTGCACCTCGTTGATTGTCATATCATGGCAATCCTAAGAGCTATAGGGGGGTTCCCAAAATTAGAGGTACCTTATTTGGGTATCCCCATAATGAGGATTATAATATTTTGGGGTCTATATTGGGGTCCGCCTATTTAGGGGGCCACTACCATTCGGAGATCTGAAGCGTGGGAAGCTGCATGGAGGCTCTGGTGAGCGGATGCACTCGGGATAAACATTGCTGCGGAGGAGGTTCAACTGGAGAACCCTAAATCCTAAACCCCAACTTGCAATTTCTTTCCCGTATACCCCATTTGGTAGTTTCCCTAAATAAGGGGCCTCATATAGACCCAACAATGCTATAATCCTTCTTATGGGGACTCAACAGTATCCCGAATTTGGGGAAACTACCATAATATAACCCTTGCATGACCCTGGTACCCCCCCCCCTTTTCACCCCTATATAATCCCCCATACCCCCTTAACCCTAAATCCTACGCCCTAACTGGCTTGGCCCCTAAAATCCTTTGAACAATATTGGTATATAGGGTCCCTTACTAAAGCCATTAGGGAAAATATTAAATATCCCAAGGGCCTACCCAGCTAAGCCCCTGTATAACCCTAAACCCTAATCCCCTATATAACCCTAAACCCTAAGCCCTAAACCATAATCCATAATCCTCTATATGGTAGTTTCCCAAAATAAGGGGACCCTCATATGGACCCCCGAATACTATAATCCCTAGTACAGGTACCCCCAATAAGGTACCCATAATTTTGGGAAACCCCTATATAACCTTCGCGTCTCGCATGTCTCGCGGTATCTCGGCCTCGGCACGGCGGCGGCGAGCTCGGAGACGCTGTCGGGGCCGACGGCTCAGTGTGGCAACTCGACGGGGTACCTGGCAGGCTTTAAGGGGTTATAGTCCCCCTTGAGTAGATAGAATATAGGGTTTAGGGCTTAGGGTTCAGGGTATAGTCCCCTGAAGTAGATAGAATATAGGGTTTAGGGTATAGTCCCCTGAAATAGATAGAATACAGGGTTTAGGATGGCTTAGGGTTTAGGGTCTAGTCCCCGTTAAGTAGCTAGAATATGGGGTATATGGGGATCTTATTATCATATACCCAAAGCCATATTCTAGTAAGAATGGAAATGCAAGTGGAAGCTACTATACTATTTAGGGTTCAGGGTTTCAGGAGTCAGGGTTTAGGGTTTGGGATTTGGGGTTTAGGGTTTCAAAGTTTAGGGTTTGGTATCTGGGGTTTAGGGATTATAGAATCTCAGGATTCAGGGTTTGGGGTTTCGGGATTCAGGGCTTGACGCTTCAAAGATTGAAGCAAGCTAGGGGGCTTCCGGACTTAGCGGGGCTGCATTCCCGTCTTGGTATTTTGGGGAGTTCATAAAAATAGGGATCTATTTGGGCTGTCCCGGTGATAACGATTATAGTCGTTTGGGGTATATATTGGGGCCCACTAAGCCCTGAACCCTAAACGACCTCATGGCAAGGAGGTAGTAAGGCCGGAGGATTGTCGGGGCTTCGCTTAGGAGAGCAGGTGAAGCTTCGAGATGAGCATTTAGGGTTTACCAAGGGAACCAAAACCCTGAAAATTCTTGGGGTTCCCTACTTCGCTATATAGGGATGTTGTAAAGGACCCTAAGAATTTCCAGTGTTTGGGTTCCCTTGATAGGGCTTAATGGTTTAAGGCTTAGCTTTTCTTTTCTTTTTGTCACGCCCTTTCTCCACAAGGGAAGGGGCCAATTGGCCAGGCGAGTCCGTGCTTCAGCGGGGCGTCGCGCTCAGAAGTGGAGGTAGTCGAATCATCTTCATGTCAGCCCCAAAACTAAACCATAACCTTTATGCCTCGTCCTCCTCCACCAACTCATCCCGGATTCTTTGTTGGAAGCGCTGTAGCATTGCAACCCCATTTCTAGACACGACGCCACCGTCCGTGATAATCCCTGACTGCCATAGTCCATACATGGCATCCTGGATGACGTCTGTGGCAGCTGTGGCGGACTGGTCCTTTCCTTCAAAGCTTAGGGCTTAGGGTTTAGGGTTTAGGGTTTAATTGTTTAGGGCTTTAGGACTACATACGTTACATTATCTAGAGTCTACAGCCCCCCGTAAGTAGATCGAACATTGAATTGACCAAAATCTTCGTAAGATCCCCATATATCCCTTATTATATCTACTCGAGGCGGACTATATCTAGGAGTTATGTGCTCATTGTACCTGGAAATATCTGGGACACTTGAACCCTAAATAATCGTTTCCATGTTCTCTTCCTTTGTTCTATATACAAACATATCCCCATATAACCCTAGATACCGCCTACTGTATTTATTCCTCATACATGACCCTATACCCTCAGGTAAACTCTGTATAACCCTGGAGAACAACATGCCGCAGATCACGAAGACGTCGCGCCATCCGCTGTCAGGCGTAACGCCCACCTTGGTGACCGTCTCCAAGCGCAGCTGGTTGTACAGGGATTATATGGGCAGTATCTGAGTATGCAGGGTTACATAGGTGTATATATACAGAGGAAAATGGAAAAAAACATGGAAACTACAATTTAGGATTTACAGTTTAGGATAATGACAGTTCCATGCATCACTGCTTTCACAAAGTATAGCTCTCCACGGCCGCGGATGGCGCCCTTGAGGTCTAGTGATTCACAGAAGATGCAACTCCAGCGAAGACTGCAAGTTTTACCGAGTCTGGGTGCTGGGCCCGCATCTCCTTCTCGCTGAACCATAGCGCGCTGCATGGAAGTGGCCTGATGTTGAATTGTGGATTGTGGAAAATTACCATGAATATTGATATTATGATTACTGTTATTACTGTTTATACTACTCGTATTACTATTAGTAGTATCATCATTACTATCATTATTACTCTCATTACTACTACTATTATTACTATCATTATTACTACTATTATACTACTATTATTACCAAAAGTATTACTATCATTATTACTATCATTATTACTATTAGTATAGCATCCCTGAGCTAGAACTTCGAGGCAGACAGACAAGAAAAGTACGTGACAATGACTCCAGCAAGCTTGTGAATGATCTAACCCCCTATATAGCCTACAACATGTTCCCTACAAACCCTAAAGGGGTTTAGCGTTTATTGTAAACCCTTGGATTTTTGGAGTATGCACCATCCACCCCTAAACCCTAAACCCTATGCACCATCCACCCGTCAGCCTATCGTCAAGCACAGTCGGCTGCCATGGAGGCCGTATCCTTGTTGAATCAAGGCTTCACATCTTGGGGTTTAGGGTTTGGGGTTTAGGGTAATAGCTCATATGGGGAGTTCACAAAATTAGGGGTACCCCCTTGGGGGTCCCTATAATAAGGATTATAACATTGGAGAGGATAATCTAGAAACAGCCTTGACACACCATGGAGAAGCTCGCGATTTGGCAACAGCTGCCGGGACTAGACTTTGCAGTTCGACTTCTGTGCAACGGCCAACCGCCGCCTTTTTCGGGTGCAACCTTCCTGGGCTCAGGGCAGCAGCATGCTGCTTGAAAGCTTGGCTACAGGCTCCTCATCGAAGAACATCCGGATTGCGTCCCAGCCCGTATCGGTGACCTGCACACTTGAAATAACGAGCCTATGCAATCGCCCCACCAACTTTTGGACTGGGTTGGCCCCTAAAACCCTTTCAAAAAAAAACAGTATATAGGACTAGGAAAGCTTCTTCAAAGTCATCCTCGATCTTATTTGGGGGTTTCCCAAAATTAGGGGTACCATTTTGGGGGTCCCGTAAAAAAGAATTATAGTATTTGAGGGTCTATATTGGGGTCCCCTTATTTTGGGAAACTACTATCTGTTCTAGGGCCAGCCCTAAAGGCCGGACTCCGATACAATAGCACTGCAAAACAGATCCAACACGTTCTGTCTGGTCGCTTCCTAGCATCGACTTCTTTGGTGATCGCTTCTTCAGCGAACGCTTATCATTGCGAATAGCACCCCTTCTCTGAATCTGAAGAGAAATAGTCATGTTTTGAGGTGCTGCCTGGACATGTCGATTATCTCGGTAGGGGCTGCTGTACGGAGGAAAGGCTGACTTGCAGCATGCTCAAAAAATCACCACTTTTCCCCTGGTGCTTAGAAGGGAATGGGGGAATGGATCCCTATAGTAGTCCCTATATACTCCCTAATACTAATCCCTATAATCCATTCCCCCATTCCCTCCTAAGCACCAGGGAGATTAAAATCACCACTTTTTCCATCTCATGAATCACCCAGGCTGCCAATCTCCAGGATGGAAAACCTCGGTTGACATTCACTGCTGAGATCGTAGCTTGGGTACTGCCCCCCCCCGCAGTAACAGTCTATATTAGGGGTCCTATTAAGGGCTATATCTAACCATAATATATTAATTATCCAACTGTTATTGTATATAAGGGGGCCTTTTAAGGGCTATATCTAACCATATTATATTTATTATCCAACTGTTATTGCGAGGAGGGCAGTACCCAAATCATAGCAAAGAAGCCCCTGGCCTTGATAGCGGCAAGGTTTTTCCAAATTGAACCCATGCCTCCTGTCCTACATGTTGCCCAGGACAAAAAATGGCTCCCTTCTATGTGACCCCAAAGTACGAGCATCCTCATTATGGGGACCCCCAAAAAACTCCCTGGTGCTTAGGAGGAAATGGGGGAATGGATTACAGGGATTGTTGGGGAGTATATAGGGACTACTATATGGATCCATTCCCCCATTCCCTCCTAAGCACCAGGGAGAAAGTACCCCTAATTTTGGGAACCCTTAAGTCTTGCTCCAAAGCCACTGCTTACCGGCTGTGTTACCGGCTGTGCGAAGCTTCTGTGACAGGGTAGCAAAGTCATCCTCCTTTACCTTAGATCATCTGAGGATTAGGGGTTTAGGGTTTAGGGGTTTAGGGTTTTGGGGTTTAGGGTTTTGGGGTGTAGGGTTTAGGGATATATAACTCAAATAATGGAGAATCAAATGGAAAAGAAAATGGAACATGAGATGGAAACTGGGGTTTGTTGGAATATATGAGCTATACTCTGAACTCCTAGTATCCCCCTGAAGAACCCCTATACTATTCCCCTAGAGAATCCCCTATATAAAGCCCCCTAAGGAGTTTAGACTATAGATTATCTCAGTCCAACATCTTCTTGAAACTTACGACCCACTTCTTTCAGCCGCGCGACGGCCAGGCATACAACATTCACGTCCTCCTCCATCACCAGGCGCATGGCTTCAGCGCAGAGCTCGATGCTGGCCTCCTGAATATGCGCTGTAGTCCAAACCCTAGTATCCCCCCTTATAAAACCCTAAAATACTCCCGTCTATAATCCCCTTTAAGGGAGTTTAGACTCTAGCTCATATGAGATGCAGTCTCAGAAGCGCTTACTACCGTGCCTAGTCCTGCCCTGGAGTCTTGCATGCTTGCATGCGTGTCCTTGGCTGGCACCACCTTTGGCTCTATGCCTAGCTCCTGCAGGCGCTTGCCCCAGTCGGTGTCCATCGTGAATCCTGTCCCTTCCTGGGAGGATGCACAGGGTCTGCATAGGCTCACAGACTTAAGACTCAGCCAGCCTTACCCAGCATGAACTCTGCGTGAGACCATTTTCTGAACAAGTCTCAGCTATGAAGATCGATGCAGACACCAGCGATCCTTCACTGCCTGAGGTGCTTTGCACGTTACTGGCGATAACTCAGCACACCACAAAACTATAGTAGTTTCCATTTTGTTTTCCATTATCCCCATATAACCCCAATATAAACCCTATAATCCCCATATAACCCCAACATAAACCCTATAATCCCCATATAACCCCAACATAAAC